TTCATCAGAGATATTGGCCTATAGTTCTCTTTTTTTTCTGGTGTCTTTATGTAGTTTGGTATCAGGGTAATGCTGGCCTCATAGAATGAATTTGGAAAGTTTTCCTTCCTCTTCTATTTTTGGAATAGTTTGGGAAGAATAGATATTGACTATTAAATTAATAGATACTAATTAATAATTAAATTAATTAATATTAATTAATAATTAAATTTCTTTTTATTATGTTCAGTTAGCCAACACTGTAGTGTTCAGTGATTCATTATTTGCATATAACACCCAGTGCTCATCAGAATATGTGCCCTCCTTACCCATCTTAACTGTTTTTTAAATGTTTGGTAGAATTTGGCTGTGAAGCCACTGGTCCTAGACTTTTGTTATTGGGAGTTTTTTGACTACTGATTCAATTCCTTTGCTGGTAATCAGTCTGTTCAAATTGTCTATTTCTTCCTGTTTCAGTGTTGGTAGTTTATATGTTTTTAGGAATTTATCCATTTCTTCTAAGCTGTCCAATTTGTGGGCATATAGTTTTTCACAATATTCTCTTATAACTGTTTGTATTTCTGTGGTGTTGGTTGTCATTTCTCCTCTCTCATCTGTGATTTTCTTTATTTGGGTCCCCTCTCTCTTTTTTTCTTGATAAGTCAGGCTAGGGGTTTATCAGTTTTATTATAATTTTTTTAACGAACCAGTTCCTGGTTTCATTGATCTGTTCTACTATATTTTTAGTTTCTATATAATTTACTTCCACTCTAATCTTTATTATTTCCTTCCTTCTGCTGGTTTTAGGTTTTTGTTATTCTTTTTCTAGGTCCTTTAGGTATAAGGTTAAGTGGTTTATTTGAGATTTTTTCTTACTTCTTGAGGTAGGCCTGTATTGCTGTAAATCCCCCTTAGAACTGCTTTTGTTGCATCCTGAATGTTTTGGACTGTTATGTTTTCATATTGATTTGTTTCCATGTACTGTTTTAGTTCTCTTTCTGTTACCTGGTTAACTTAACTTCTATGTATTTGTGGTCTTTCCAGACTTTTTATTGTGGTTGATTTCTATTTTTATAGCATTGTGATCAGAAAAGATGTGTGGTATAACTTCAGTCTTTTTTAATTTGTTGAGGTTTGTTTGTTATGGCAGTAACATTTTCAACAGGTTACTTCAGTATATTTATCCAAGGTAGTATGTCTTTTCCCCATTCCCCCATTATAGTAGTGGTTGTTAGGGAGCTGGACATCCTTCATTGGAGGCCACCTAAGCCATTGCTTACATTTCCTTATTCAGGACAAAGTTCCTGAGAACATGGTGTCTAGAGCTGTGTTATAACCTGTTTCTACGAATTCTATATAAGAGCTTATGTAAATTTAAGGAACTACTTTGTGTTATGCTCCTGCTTTTCTTTTTTTTTTTTTTTATTATTTGACAGAGAGACATCACAAGTAAGCAGAGAGGCAGGCAGAGAGAGAGGGGGAAGCAGGCTTCCCGCTGAGCATGGAGCCCGATGCAGGGCTCGATCCCAGGACCCCGAGATCACGACCTGAGCCGAAGGCAGAGGCTTAACCCACTGAGCCACCCAGGCGCCCCCTCCTGCTTTTCTTAACTGTATTTTATTCACTATAGAGTAACGGGAATATTTTTGTGAGTTTAGATTGCCTTCATGAATGCACCAACTCATTTTTGTGAGTTTAGATTGCCTTCATGACTCACCAAGAAAAAAAGAAAATGAAGTTCTATTGACATAGAATTTGTTTCCTACTATAGCTAACAAAACTTATAGACCTTAATGAAGGAACTGAGAGGAAAGTATGCCCTTTTCCAGTATTGACTTGTTTTCTTTTTGTGTAAGTTTCACAAATTGATTAAGGAAAGTAGTTTACAAAGTTCTTGCCTGGCTGTGAGAACAGAGTCTGCACTAGTTTTGTTATGGCTGTATTTGTTCAACAGTAACTCTGTGGTACTAATATTTTTGATGAATGTTATATAGTCATGTGTGGGTTAATGATTCTCAACCTTTTTGTTCTCAGGAACCCCATGCCCTTAAATGTTTTGATGACCCCAAAGAGGTTTCATTTGATCTTTTCATGTCCTTTCCCTTCTTTTTCTTTTTCCCTTCCCTTCCCATGGGTTCACCTTATCAATACTTATTGACTGGAAGTTAGAATAGGAAACATTTTAAAAGTATTAATTCATTTAAAAGTAGCAATAATAAATTCATAAATAGTTATCATTTTTTTCATAAAAAATAACAATATCTCCAATCATAAAAAACAAAGAGAGGAGTGGCATTGTTTCACTTTTTTTTCCCCAAAGGTGTTTAATATTAGATTTAATGAAAATAATTGGATTCTTATATCTGTTTCTACATTCAGTGTGCTGCATTATGTTCTGGTTGAAGTATGTGAAGAAAGTCCAGCTTCACATAGATATGTTCTTGGAAGGGGTAAAATATTTTAATAATCTTTTCAGATAATTATAGGTATTCTCCTTTGACACTACACCAAAGTCGGCATGTGTTAGTTTTTTTTAAAGATTAGTTGCAATGTGGAATCTGAAATCACATCAATGAACTCTTAGTACTCTAGTAAGCTCAAGATTCACTGTTCTGTCTTGCACTTTGAGCGACTCTTCTACACATGCATGATTTTGGAACATTATGCATTTGTAAACATACCCGAATTGTACAGGTCTCTTTATATAATATTTAAAAATTATATTTGATATTATCACCATCAGTCCCATCAGAAACAGCTTTAAATATTGGGAAGCTGTCAAGGTTACAATAGTGGAAAAATATTTTCCAGAATTCTAAGTTAACTGTGAACTTGATTTGCCACTGCCAACAAATACTCTGAATGTTTTTTTTTTTTTATTAAAATGACAGGCTTTCTATGTTCACTTTCATGAAAATTCAAATATATCTATTAATATATATTCATTCATTCATATATGAATATATATTCATCGTCTATCCATTCATTCATTCATTTATGGGAAGAGAAAGGGTGGGGAGGGGCAGAGAGAATCTTAAGCAGGCTCTGTGTCCAGCCTGGAGCCTGATGCGGGACTGGACCTCACAAGCCCAAGATTATGATCTGAGCTGAAAGCAAGAGTTGGACGCTTAACTGACTGAGCCACCCAGGCACCCTGAACTAATTTGATATTTAAAAAATGTAAGAATCTATTTCTATTACATGGCATGTTTTAAAATACATCGTGTTGTGAGATAATTATGTACTAATGAAAGTATAGTGATGCATTTAGAGGTTCATTAGTCAACTCTAGTTGAAGAAAGGGAGAAAGAGAGGAAATTCCTAGGCATAGTGATGCCAAATGTCAAAACATTTAAAAGCTGCAATAGAAAAAATATTTTTCTCTTCTGTATATTGGAAGTGGAAGTATTTGCCCTCCTTTACTTTTTTGTTGTTAGGGCTTTCGGAACTAAATAGTATTTCCTGTATTCCTAAAAATGTTTTGAGAACTACCCACATTAACTTATGACCAACCAAAGGGTTCATTTATCTTGTGTGTTTCAACCTTTTATAATAAAGCAAGTGATATGATAAATCGATTATGTGTCAGGAAGAGGGAGTAGCTGTTCAAACCTAAAGGATTTCTTTTTGTTTAGATCCATTTTTAGTATGTATGTGGGAGAGGTTAGCTTGTGAGTTAAGGACTTAATGGTATTTCAAATTCCCGGTCAGCTCTTCAACTCCTGTCTTTCATTTGTCAAATCTATGTCTTCATAGGTAGCCTTCTGTTCTGTATTGTAGGAAGACTGAGGGGGAAGCAGTGTGCGTTTGTTTAGTGGTAGATTACTTCCTTGCAAATATAGGCTAAGGTTCTTACCTTTTGTTTTTAAACACTGCCTGGCTGAGTACTAAGCATTTTCCATTATTGATAATAGTAATAATAATAATACCACCACTGCCAACATGGAAGCAGGAACATTACCTTTCACTCAGTTGGCATTTCACTCAGATGTCTTTTGAGTTCTTTTCAGCTTCATTTAGCTCTTCTTATTTTCCATCTCAGCAAATCTGTTTTGACTTTTTTAAAACAGGTAAGTCAACAAGGTAAGGGCTGGAGTACACTGATTCACAGAAACACCTGTGCTTGGGACTTGAGGACATTGCTCCACAGTATTTATTTGTTAGACTATGACAGCTAGTGGTGAGGAGTTTTAGAATGTGTCACAGCTGTAGATGTTAAGTACTAGATGTAGCTGTGATTGCTGTCACCTGTTCTGATATACTGTCCGCTACTATAGGCATTAAGTTTTTTTTTCCTCTTAACCTGTTATGTCTTTCTGTATTTTTCTGGCCTTCTATAAAATGTTGTAAAGTAATATTTTTGTGGAGTAGATCTCTGCCTCTTGCATGTTAATAGATATACATGTTTAAGAGATTTGACCCTCTGGGAGTATTATCTTAACAAGTAAGATTTGAATAAGAATTATTTTTCATATTCATGTAATGGCAGTGTATTGCTTGGCACATGATAGGTACTCTGTAAATGTTATTTGTCATGAATTCTTGAACCCAAAAGTTAATTAAATGAAGTTCAATTAATACATTTTTATTAAGCCATATATAGTATTAGGTGAGGAAACTAAAAATATTGGTAAAGCAGTTATTGGGCCAGCGAATTCCTCTGCTAACTGGAAGGAAATTTCACAGATATAAGCTGTTTTACCATGGGAGATGTTAGTGGTAGCAGTAGAAATACAGAAGTAGTGAAATTGAAGGAGGGGGTTATTCCTGGCAGGGATGGGGAGGGTTTTAAAAGGAGGCTCATTGTCTGGCCATCAGATCTGACCTAGCTCTTGAAGATAAAAAGGATAAAAAGGACATTCTTTTTGTTCTGCTTCTCTCAGAATGTATTTGAAAGATAAAATGGGTTTCCTGTCTGACATTAATATCAATGATACTTTGGAATGTTTGCTTCTCTTATAACCAGGGTTGTTTTTCTCTGGGTCCCATGCTCACTGTTTTTACATGCCTTGTTTTGCAAGAATTGCCTGAGGTTCCATCAGTTGAGGAGGAAGTGGAAGAAACAGAGTCTTGGGCGAAGCCTTTGGTCCACCTCTGGCAGACAAAGTCCCCAAACTTTGTGGCTGAACAGGAGTATAATGCAGCCATGGCCAAAATGGAGCCACACTGTGCCATCTGTGCTCTCCTCATGCCCTACTACAAGGTAATAACGGTGGCGGGGTCACTGCCAGGTTTCTTTACTGCTTCGCTTTCTGTATGACTGTAGAAACACAGGTGAATCATTTTAAGGTATGTGTGTACATGGAAAGGGAGACATCAGTACTTACGTAGCTACATGGCCATTACAGAATAGCAAACAATTTTTGAGTGTTACTAGAAAGCCACTTCTCTGGTGGTGCTTTATCATTTTAAAATAAGTGATTCGTTTATTTGTCAGTCTTGGTTCATTTCCGTCAAGGAGCAGTTCCAGCCTTTTTCAGAAAGAAACACAGAACTTAAAGCTTAACAATAGTAGAAGTTTTGCAAAGAGGGAACTTGGCCTTAGTGTTTGGAAAATATCGCTCTCAATAATTGTCAACTCCGGGCCCACATTTAAAATATTTCTCTTTATCTTCCCACGTGGAACATGTGTAAGATACAGCAGGACTCAATACAAACTGGGTTTTTCAGTTCACCCTCATCAGCTAGCTGTATGTAGTATTGTCATCAGTGTTATTCCATATGTCATCCTGATGGCATTTTAGCTCACTGAGGGCCACATTTTCTAACACAAACTCAGATAAAGTGATCTTCAGGAATCGAGTATGGGTGGAACTTTGTGACCTACTTTAAGATACAATATTTTTATAAAGCGTATTGATGTGAGCATTGTGTCCTGAGTTATAGTCTCAATAATGGAATCAGAAGTATTTTAAGATTGCTTCTCTTTTAGAGTTCATGTAAAGTAAATGCTTTTTTGTTCAGATATTTCAGGGCATGAAATTGGGTGATATGCCACATTTTCAGCTTTGAAAATAGAGGAAGTAAACTTAACTCACTTGTCTTTGATGGGCCCTTGTGACTGAGAAACTATTTTCTGTTTAGTCATTGAATGTCTGTGTTTTCTTGGAAAAATTTAACTTTTTATTGACTCTTATTTGTATATCATATTTTGCCTGTGTATTTCCCCAATAATTAAAAAAATTCTCACTAAACTTATAAGATATAGGGAAACTTTTTAATATAAGATCTCTGGAGATAAGATAGTTCATTAATTAGAGTTTCAATTAAGCACTAAATGTTTTTCATATATTTTGGTAAGGGATGACAATTTTATTTTGCACATTATATTTCCTTATTTAGTGACATTTGCCAGATCTTTCTGTTTTGAGGTTTTGAAACTTTGTGGTGAGGCAAAACCTTCAAAAATTCTCTAAAAACTCTTGCAAAGATTAAAACTGAGGTCTTTGAAAATACTCCTTCAAGTGTAACCAGGTAAAATTTTCAGTAAATGAAACCAAGTCGGCTAACTTAGTGTAAATAAAGAAATAAAAATTCCTCAGAAAAATTGATGCTTTCCCTGAACTATTTATGTAAGAATGTAGTTTTAGCAGGTTATCAACTTTTTCGTACAAGCAGATGTACAGAACGTCCTCCTGTTTCTACAGCTTAGCTTCTGGATGGGAGCCCGAAGAGGAACATTGATAAAAAGCTAATAGTTATATCAAGGAAAACAACAGGAAGAACAGAAGCTGGAAGTCAGTGAATGGAACAGCTATTAGTGGATTTGAGTGACCAGAACAAATGATTAACTTCTTTGCATGTTTTTCACTCATGTGGGAATATTGTGTTTTTCAGCCAGATAGCAGCAATGAAGAAAATGATTCAAGATGGGAGACAAAATTAGATGAAGTGGTTACTCCGGGAGGAAAGACTAAGCCCCTCATTCCAGAGATGTGTTTTATTTATAGTGAAGAAAATATAGAATATTCTCCGCCTAATGCCTTTCTGGAAGAGGATGGAACAAGTCTTCTGATTTCCTGTGCAAAGTGCTGTGTACGGGTTCATGCAAGTAAATGAATCTCTCATTCATCAAACACTGGCTTTTCAGTGCTTTACATAATCTTTGTTTCTCACCCTTTTGTCCCCTGCCAAATCTATTGAATTGAACTATTGGCATTCTTAATGGTTAGATCATTCTTTCTCACATTTCTTCTGATAAAAGTATAAGTATAATAATCCCTTTTTCTACAGTTTTGTACAGTATCAGTGGAGAGCAATTTTGTTTTGTTTGTTGTACAGATGTGGGGACATTTTGAGGTTCCTTTTGCAAATTTGAATTTTACTTTAAGAGATAGTTTGTAAGGGGCACCTGGGTGGCTCAGTGGGTTAAAGAGATAGTTTATAAAAACTTAATTTTAACCTCTGATATTAATTCATGATTATTTTTCTTTGTACTTTTTAAGGAGACATGACTTTTTTCAGTGATTTGGGGAATTATTGTTAAATTTAATTATAGAGTTTAATTTTTATTCTTTGGGAGCGTAAGGAAATCTGTGTTGCCTTCCAAGGGGAGAACAGTCATTACATTTGTTTTTCCCTGGGACCGAGATGGTCCTGAGATGGTCCATACCTGCCATAATTTGGTAATTTCACATCATGGGATACATGGCAAATACATAATTTTTTATTTGCCTGCCATGTAACTCCTCTAAAATGTGAAAAGGGAGCTATTTTTTACTGCAAGTCTATTTTAAAGCATTTTAATATTCCAGATCTTGCCAAATCATATGTCATGCTAACATAGTTATGTATGGTCTCTGTAGCATGAATGGTTATAATAGAGGCATTACCTTCTATATTTACCCCAGAGAAACACCAGTCTAACATTAGGGTTGAAATAGTCTTGGTGTCTATCATTTATTGATTGATTAGATACTGTCAGCTTCCCCAAGAGATTTAACATTATGTGTTTGAAATATAGCAACCTTCTTTACTTATATCAATCTGTAACACACACACACATATATACACATTCACCCTTACATTTTTATAAGTTTATAACAGTCAATGCATCATTTCCCAAGAAAACTGGGATTTAATTTTGATTCCTGAATGTAGAAGCTATACAATTTAACTGTAGTATTTCATAAACATGTGCTTGAACTAAACATTTTATAGTCTTGGCTAACTATGATAGGCTTTTCTTTGGTAATTATATTTCTGTTATTTTTCTCTTTCATTTAAATGTTATAGAAATTTGATATTAAAAATTACTTCTTTAAATCTTTCAAAGCCCTTTGAAAGGAAGTCAGAGTGACACATGTTTGTTGGTACTGTATAATTGCTGCTTATATTTGGATCATCAGCTATTGCCTTACATAGTTATTTTGAGTCAGGCATGTATTGAATAGACAAATAGAACTGAAGATACCTCTTCACTAACTGTGAATTGTGCATCCTCTGTCCCTACCACTGAGATTAAAGCTAATTAAGCATAATTTTTGAAATGTAATTTTAAATTATATTAATTTGTAAAATATGTCAAAGTTGATTTATTATATTATTTTAAAGCTTCCCTAAATTTTCTTTCATGAATTGCAGCTTATTTTGAAATACATTTTGTATGAGTAAAGGACAAGGCCCAACAAATTAGAAATTTAATTATTTTGCCCATTCAAGAATTATCAGATAATTATTGTGAGCATTAGTAATGATTGAGACCCATATTCTCATATTTCCTAAGACTGATATCCTTTTACAAGGCATCAGAACCAAAAGTATCTTTGAAGACAGCCTTGCTTATGCTTTGTTTTAAGCAATGAGAATCAAAAATGCTATTATGGCACTGGGTATGGTGCATAAACAATGAACTTTGGAACACTGGAAAAAAATAAAATAAAATAAAATTTTTAAAAAATGCTATTATGGTGGACAGTTGTTCTGATTTTATTTTTTCAGTGCTAAAATGTATAATACTACCGAAATGCAAAAGACCTAATTCATGGATCCATACTATTATTTTATAGGTTGCTATGGTATCCCTTCTCACGAGATCTGTAATGGATGGCTATGTGCCCGTTGCAAAAGAAATGCATGGACAGCAGTAAGTGGCCTATTTTAATATATTTTAACCCCTCTGCTCACTCTCTCCACTGTGAACACATTTAATCTAGCAGTAAGGTAAGGCTGTATGCATGGTTTTGTGTGCACTTACTTCTATACTCAATATTTTTCTGATCTTCTCTTTTCAAATCATCCTATCTAATGGCTCTATTCATCATAGAAATATTAAATAAATATCTAAGTGTCAGTCCTCTACTCAGGAGCCTACAGAGACTGCCAGTTTATCAAAGCAAGTCTAAAATATTCCTTCATTTTCCTGCCTAGGTCTATTTTGTAGTTTTTGAAAATAAATATTCTAAGTCACACTCAAGGTGAGGATCCTCCCTGACCCCTGACAAAACCATGCTCATACATAACTTTTCCACTGGTATGAGGTCTTTCCCCACTTATTCATTCATTCATTCATTCATACTTCAAGAAACTTTGGGATCTTGCCAGGCATTACTGTAAACTTGGGACAGATTCTTTGAACAACAAATGATACCCTGCTTAGGGAACACAGATTCCTCCTCATCTACCTTGTTTTTCCTAATGAATCCTGTTGAAACTTTAGCTACATCCAAGCATTAAGTTATAGTAACTCACCATGTCACCTATTTTTCCATTTAATTATGTGCTACTTTGATATTTCTTAAAAAAATTCTCTTTCAAGAAGCATCAGATCATTTTTGAAAGTTAGGACCTGTTAGATCTTAACATTGTATCCCTCACTCTTAATCTCAGAGCAGGTGATTTCAGTTGTAATAGTAGCATTTACTTTGTTTCTCAATGTTCTCTAATGACAATGAATTAAATTTCTTTGCAACCAGAGTTAAAATCCTGAGGGACGATAAAGGGAGGAGGAGCCTTGCATGGTAAAAATTTATGTCATGATACAAATGTTTAGCTCTCAGTGTTGAAAGAGACATATGGTGACTGTAAATTAAAGATGTCTGAGAATGTCCTGAATTATTTTTTTGCTGGCATTCACTTTAGGTACTAGGGGAAAAATGAGGGAAAGTATGGACATTCTTTATAGCCCAAATAATCTGATCTGTTTGGTGTTAGAGGTAATATCTCCAATTTAAGAATTCTTTCATTAGGAGTCCCAGAAAACGTTTTTGTATTTCCTTCTATGTGATCATTATATTAACAAAAATTATATAAATACAGAGTATCTTAAAATCATCCTGGAAGTCTTGAAGTAATAAGTATATTCAGTTCTTATTTACCATGCAGGTCTTATATTGTTGTATGAGCCGAATTAAAGCTTTATAGAATCAGTCTAGCCAGTGATGTCCTCTCATTCACCCTGAAGTATAGGTTTCAAGATTAGAGATATTCTAATCCAGTTCACCAAGGCATGAAGAATTCTTTATTCCATCTACAATTACTGCTTGACTTAGGTGTTTACACCCTGAGCACTCCTGTTACCCAAGGTACCATTGTCCTTTGCGTGGCAGAGCCAGGACCAGGCTGAGGCCGTCCACCCTGATTCTAATGCTGCTTGTGATAGCTTATGCTGTTCTCCTTTAGCATGTTTTAAGAAGGAAATACTAGATTAATAACCCTTTAGAACTGATTTAAAGCTCCTATTAGTCTTAATCCCTCATACCCTCAGAAAATATCTTTTGTGTTTTATTATTGATACCATGTAAATCTCTTAAAGTTTGCAAAAGAAATGAAAACTCTTGAATACAATTTTACAATAATTTTTTTAGACCCACGTAATACCTTATTTCTAAGTTGAAATGATCTGAATTCATAGTGCACCAATTGTTTTTCAACTTATCCATTTGAATGGACTTTGTCTATGAAGCTCAGACCCTATTTTTTTTCTCCTGAGAAATCAGTGAGTTGCAATTTTAGCATTGCAGAGAAGTAAGTGATAATATCAATGTTTTGGTTTTAATTCCCTTATTCAGTGTGGCTGTGAGTGCTACAATATTAATTTTTAGTAGACAAGTATGATTCTTTGGATTTTGTGGCTGGAATGATTGCATTATTATTATTATTATTATTATTATTGTTATTATTTTTATTTGACATACAGAGATCACAAGTAGACAGGCAGGCAGAGAGAGAGAGAGGAGGAAGCAGGCTCCCCGCTGAGCAGAGAGCCCGATGCGGGGCTCTATCCCAGGATCCTGAGACCATGACCTGAGCCGAAGGCAGAGGCTTTAATCCACTGAGCCACCCAGGCACCCCATGATTGCATTAAAAAAAAAAAAATTTATTTGACAGAGAGAGAGAGACAGCAAGAGAGGGAACACAAGCAGGGGGAGTGGGAGAGGGAGAAGCAGGTTTCCCGCTGAGCAGGGAACCTGATGCAGGGCTCCATCCCAGGACCCTGGGATCATGACCTGGGCCGAAGGCAGATGCTTAATGATTGGATGATTGCATTTAAAAAGTATCCTTAGACTTCTTCAGGAATCAGTCTCACATTGTCAGTTTTAGATTCTAGAGAAGTCTTGGAACTCCTTTCAGTGGAGGCTCCAAAGGAGCTAATGGAAATCTAACAGTGCAAGGGAGGTCAGGTAACATTTGATTGCTGGTTTGTACATCATTAATTCTAATTCCTAATTCTTTCCTGGGATTTTCATTTTAAATATATTTGTAAATGTAAGACTTATTATTCATTGTGAATGCAAAATATTCTGATAGCATATTTTGCTTGGGATATATATTAATACAACAGATGTGACTATTCTAGCTAATTCTGTTTCATTTTATGGTGAGTACTTTGCACACCTGGAGGGAAAGAAGAGGGTAGCCTGAAATACCTTATATTTATCTTTTTAAGGTATATGTGAGACTTGAGTGTGGTGGTTTTCTTCTTTAAAGATCCATTTTAAAGACTTTCCATTGATGGATGAATGGGTAAAGAAAATGAGGTGTGTATTTATATGTATATGAAGATACACACTGGAATTTCATATTCAGCTATAAAAAAGAAGGAAATCCTGCCATTTGCAACAACATAAATGACCTTGAGAGCACTATTCTAAGTGAAATAAGTCAGGGAAAGACAATACTGTATACTCTATTTTATATGTGTAATCTTAAAAGAACACACTGAACTCATGGGAGCAGAAAGTTAATTGTTGGTTGTTGGGAGCAGGGCATGGGGGAAATAGGTAAAGGTGGTTAAGGGTACAGACTTCCAGTTTTAAAATGAACACATTTTGGGAATCTAATATACAGCATAGTAACAACTATAGTTAGAAATACTCTATTGTATAGTACTGTACTTGAAAATTGTTAAGATCTTTAAAGTTCTTGCCACAAAAAAAATAAATAAGTAAAAGAAATTATGTGAGGTGATGGATGTGCTACCTAATCTTATTTTGGTAATATATCTCAGTATACATACATACATTAAATCATCATGTTGTACATTTTATGTTATACATTTTAAACTTAGATGTTAAAATATCAATTATATTTAAAGCTGGGGGGAAAAGGAGACTATAATAATAACTGTATCATGGAGGTAAGCATCAATAATTTAAATTTTAGAAGCAAAGGCGCTGTAGGTATTATTTCATCTAATGTTGGAAAGTAGTCAGTTTTGTCACTGTTAGCCCTGGCAAGGTAACTGAGGATGCATGCAAAGCTGGAATCAATGCTGACCACCTGTCTTTTGATTTACCAATTCTAACAAGGGACATCACTCTGGCCCCAACTGTTGTGATAGTTTTTAAGTAACCAGAGGCCGGAGCTTTGTCTCATTTACCTCTGTAGCACCCTTATCACCTGTGCGGTGTTGGATCATTTCTGAAGGGGTGAAACATAAAGTAAGAAGATTGTGATCACAGAGATATCGGCCAGACCTTTGTGGCCTTCAGTGCTCTCACTGTTTCCAGAGTCTCGCTCAGTGTTCACTGTGTTTCCTTTTGCTTTTGTTTCTTTACTTTATCCATTGTGTCTGTTAAAACAAGAAAGAAGAAGCCTCAGCTTCTTTGCAGCTTTAATTGAATGGGTTGGGGGAAGAGATAAGTTACAAATTTTGGATTGTACCCCAACTTAGATTCTAGGATCCTGGCTTTATATCCAAATTCAAATGAAATGAAATAAAGAACCCCCCAAATACCGGTTGATCCTGAGATTTAGGTTTGTACATCCCATCATTTTAACTAAATGTTACTGCTTTGTGCCAATTTTCCTATTTCAGTACAGCTCAGGTGAATAAATGCAACTAACTGAAAGCTATGTTCGAGTTTATGGCTTATAACTCAACTCTATTGGATTATTTTATTTTCACTATTTGTTTTCGACCTTTTTGTGACTGTTTATAAAATGGATTTTGGAGCAGTTTTTACTCTATTACCATATGCCTTGAGAGCACATGCCAAACATTAACAAGTTCTGTTTTTAGGTATAGACTGTCAATACCCTGATTCTACCATGTTTTTCTTATTTTGATTTTTAATGATTTTTCTTATTTTGATTTTTGATTTAAAGTCTAATCACTTTTGATCTAATTTGCTATAGTTTTCTCTAATCTGCATCTTTCCACTGTATAATGACTGCAAGTCACTACTAATTAAAAATACTAGTATTCTCACTGTAAAGACATAGAATATGTATTGCTTTCTTTGAAATTTTTTTCCCCTACACTGAAAAAAAATTTTTTTTATCCCTACACTGAAAAAAAATTTTTCCATTCTGGGTATTTCTGTGAAATACCTGACTACTCCTTTAAGGATACACTTCTGATTATGAAGAAAGATGTTTGTTAGATGTCTGGAATGGGCCAGTAACCTGAATACTTACTACTATTCTAAAAATAATAATAATAATAATAATAATAATAATTTATATACTTTATATTATGTAGTGTAAAAATAGGATTTTCTATATTATCTTTTGAAGAATTTATAATGTAGAATTCCAAAGGGTAAAATAAATATCATCAGGTTAAGGAGGTTAAAAGGGAATATGGATAAGATTTTCTTTTCTTAAAATTTAAGGATAATGTAGGTGTCTGGTGATTTTTTT